AAAATCACAAAAAAAGAGTGGAATCATCAACATCTTTTACCCTAATCTATGTATTTTGTTTAGTTTGTGTTTACCCTCTAATTATTTGTATGTAGATGCATATGTGGGGGCATGGATCAGAGTACAGGAAGGGACCAGAATCCTTGAGAGGGACAAAGCCAGCATCCTCAGTGCTGAGACTTCCATGCTATTGCTGCGCAGAGGGGTGCAAGAACAACATAGAACACCCAAGGTCAAGGCCACTTAAGGACTTCCGGACACTGCAGACACATTACAAGAGAAAGCATGGGACGAAGCCGTTTGGGTGCCGCAAGTGTGGGAAACCATTTGCAGTGAGAGGCGATTGGAGGACTCACGAGAAGAACTGCGGGAAGCTCTGGTTTTGCATTTGTGGGTCGGATTTCAAGCACAAGAGATCGCTCAAAGACCACGTTCGTGGGTTTGGTGATGGACATGCACCTTATGCTGTGGAGCTGTGTACTGAGCCTGAGGAAGAAGATCACATGGATGACGAGGATGACGATAACAATGACGATGATTTGGTTATTAATTAGTTAATACACAATTACTTGGAGTTTAACTTTTTGGATTAGCTAGCTAGCTAGGTATAATTAAGTAATTAGGGTTTTGGTTAGTAGTGAGTGATGGGACTGTGACTGTCTCTTATGTTTCATTTATGTCTTTTTCTTGTTTGTGAGAGAGTGCGGGAGTGAGAAGAGGAAGACAACAAACAAGACAATGAATGGCCAGGGTTTTACGCATTTAATGTTGGAAGTGGCAGTTCAATCCTTCAATTAAAGTACGTACCTTTTCTGATACCTAATATATTTTTATCTTTTGAAAAATGAATACATGTTGAGAGAGAGAGGGAGAGAGGGAGAGAGGGAAAGCGGTCAAGTAAATTCAGTGACTACAGAACACGGAGAGGAGAGCAGATAAATGTGCAGTGGAGTCACAGATTCTACTGTTCATAGCTTTTGCATTTGGAGAGATAGCTAGTGAAAACAAAATACTAAAAAAATATACTAACACTTGGATCGAACGACCGATTAGTCCGTCCATATATTTTATATTCTGAGTGAGGGGAAAGTTTCTGGGACCACTGAAAAATTACTGTATTTGGGGTTTCACTCAAGGGTTTTCCTTTTTCCTTTTGAGAACAACTACAAACAGGTACTACGAAACGTTTTCAGACTCCTGTGGCTGTGAGCTTTGCCCTTTAATCCTATCTATCAATTTTCTGCATGCATAAACGGGCCCTTTTTCCTCCGTCTCCCAGTTATGTATTTATGACCCTTTTTTCCTTCGTCTTTTTCCCAGCTCATCCTTTCTTGGCTTTTTTTTCTTTCCTTTTTTGGTTTTATATGTCATATATGTGTGCAGCAGCTGCCATACAACTCCAAAGCACGCATGTGCATCACGAGATTGTTAATTTAATCGTTTTTTAATCTGCTAATTAATTAATTTGTGTCCGTGTGCAGCTTGTGTGAATGCTAGCGCGTTGCTTTTAATATTGCTTGCATGCAATATTTAGTTCTTCTTAAACGTTTTTATGTCTGCAAACATCGACCTTAGCTAAAAGACTCGAATGACTTGTACAGCAGTTTATGCAATTTTCTTGTGGTTATATACATCTACATTGTTATATTATATATATATACACACATACGTATATAATTTGAAATAATCGTGTATATTTTCTGAAAGTTAAAAGTAAAATTGAAAGAAAAAGAGATGAAGCTTTCCCAGCTGGTTTCAGTTGTTTTATGTAATAAACAGCAGATTCTGGGTCAAAAATATTTTCTGGGCAACCAAAAAAAGACTGGTTGGTTGAGTACTTTGGAAAAAATAATGGGGACTCTCATATGGCCAAGTACAAAAAGTGATGGTTGATACATCATACATGTATATAACAGGCTGAGGACCTGAGGGCTTGCTAGCTTGTGATATATCAGATGTAATTAGATGCGCATGCAAACATAAATAAGAAGAGGCAGAGGATCGTCCGGATGCTGAGCAATAAGATCTAATTCAGGCTAATTTAATTGATTTTGTTAGTTGGATACTTGAATTACATATGTCTGCCAAGTTCAATGGACATAAAACCCAAACGTACAAGGTCCATGTGATTTGTACAGACTCAGTGCAAGTCACTGGTCGAATTTACCCAAAACACCAATACTTTACAAGATATGATCGACATGTAGATTCGATGCCCTAGTAACTAGACGTTGAGAATGAATCCCATATCGATGGGAGGATAGACCTTCGATGAGCTGATAAGTAAGTTAGGTTATTTTCTATATTGTCAACTAGTTTTATAGTATAACTCCAACTTTTTCCATTAGATAGTGCCTCCGAACCGCGTATTCCATTGAGCGAATGAACACATAAAAATGTGATTTCTTCTTGAATTGTAACGTTTAGTAAACTAAAAAGTTAAAAATGACACAACTGAAAACATAAGGACAACAAGAGAATTTGAAGTCAACTACAGAAACCAGAAGTTAAAGGGAAAATTTGAAATCGATCCAATGGGTCCAATTTTTAGTGACTTTTGACTTTTGAAATATGTCCAATTTTTAGTTACTGGGGATCATATCAAAAGATCCCAAAGTTAAATTAGCCTTCTTTTCTAGTTGTTGTTGACCGTTTGGATGGGTACAAAAGGCAAGAATAATTGGGCCTAGCTGCAGGACCACTAGGGCAGCCCGATTGAATCAATGCAGTATTAGTTGTCAAATGGATGGACCGACCCATATGCATATGTTTGCAATTCTTCGGTCTAAGAGACATTTCCAAATAAACCCAACCCAGTATCTGGTCCTTAGCCTTACTTGGCCCAGTTTTGGGAGGGCATGTGGATGACCAATTTGTTCAACAAGCCTCTTGGCTCCTCAATCGCTTCATGATTTTCAATGCTCGTTTAGAACTACTTTTAGAATGATTGAAAGTGTTTCATGTGAAAATATTTTTTGAACCACTATTTAGTAAAAATGTAAGTGATTTTGAGAGCAGCTCCAGCCTTGTCAATAGGCCGGGGGACAGTGGAGAAGAAAAGGCCTGAGGGCCTGTCAACTTGCTCCAGCCATGAGGAGCCCGAGCTAGTGGAGAAGGTCCGAGCAGGGTGCCTGTCAATTTGTGACAGCCCCGGAGCCCGAGCTCCAAGCCCATTTTTTATTTTTTTCTGTCAGGCGCGTGCACCCCACTCGCGCGTGGGGGCGCGTCGCCCGACAGCTTTTCAGAAAAAACAGTCAACTTTTCAGCTTTGCACAGTTACCGTTGGGAAGCCACGTGGCTTCCCACGGTCCGTTCGATCTCAACGGCTCCTTCATTTGGACCGTTGGATCTCAACGGTAAAAAAAATAAAAAAATCTGATTTAATATCAACCGTTCGATCTGAGATCAACGGTCGATATTAATATGCTTTATAAATAAAGAAAAAATAGTTTTAAAATTAAAAAAAGTTACCGTTGTGACACGTGGCACAATCTGGAGTGTTGGAATTCAAATTTTTTTAAATCCAACGGCAGAAATTAATTATTGGAAAAAAAATGGAAAAAATCCGAAAAAATTGTAAAAAATCTGAAAAAAAAATTGTAAAAAATTGTTTTTACTTTTCTATAAATACCACTTCTTCTCCATCTTATCGAAATCCATCGCTAAATAATTGTTTTTTTTATAAAATGACACGTGGCGCAACGAGAACGATTTAAAAAATCTTATCCGAAATTACAAATAATTTTATTTTGTATTATTTAAACAAACAAAAAAAACTAATATTTTATTGGCTATTGCCAGGGGGGAGGGCTCCAAGGGTGGAGATGCAAATGGCAATTACTGTTCATTAATGGCAGTTACTGTTCAAAATGGTGGATTCAATAGTGGATTGCCAGGGGGAAAGGCTCCATGGGTGGAATTGCTCTGAAACCTAAAAACATTTTCTCTAAAAACGCTTTCAGTTATTTTAAAAGTACTTTGAAATGAGTCATCGTTCTGTAACTTTTTTTGTGAATCTAGAAAAAAATGTAAAATATTCTGATTGAATTGTAAATGAAAAATATTCTTAAGCACACCCATGCTTATTTTTTTTACAATTCAGTTTAATAAAAGAAAAACTAATGAAAATGGCTTGAAAACTTTGAGTTTTAACAATAAAGACAAAATAAAGGGTAAAGTGAATAGTACCATAATTGAATTCTAGAGATGATATACCCACCCACCAACACTATTTCTCCACCCACTTTTTAATGATACTTTTAATGACAACTCTAACCTTTTGTAAAATGACTTATAAGGCCATCTTTAACTATTTTATTCTTTTGTTTTTGTATTAAATTATGAAAATAGAAGGAACAAAAACATGAGCCCAGCAAGTTGAAACCACCGCACACAGCACCAACCAAGTTGAATCCGCCGTTTTCCTCATCTCTTATGTCAATTCCTTCTTATCCATTCGAAATCTTCATCAAACACCATAGACCCATTACAATTACCTTAAGAAACCTTACTCTTTTTCTTTTTCTCTCATACCCATTTATAGTTTCAGCAATCCGTGTGGAACTGTGCTCAGTTAATCTAATTGACGTGGTTTTGATACCCCTCTTCTACCATTAGTCCTCTACTTGAGTTGTAATTGCATAGAACGACTACGAGGTCGATCGAAGATGTTGCTCATCCTCATAGTCTTGATTAAATTAGAGACAGAGTTGGCTGGCGATGAGAAGGGGCTTGCTTGCCGTCAAGTGGGTGGATGTGTGGCGATGGCTAATTTTCTTTGTAAGGGATGGTTTAGGAATATCAGTGGGTGGGAAAAGAGTGTTTTTCGTTTTTACCTTTTGAGTGGGGTGGGAAAATAGGATTGTGGAGTGGATCTAATACCTCTCTTGACTTTTTAGTGTAAAAATGTGATTTTTCGTTAAAATAAACGGTACCGGAAGCTTTTCGTTAAAGTCTTCTTTAATAAATCAAAAGATAATTAAAGAAGATAGATAAACACGTGCAATAGACAAAAAGTGTCTGAAAATTATTAGTTGAATACATACTCGGAAATGCTTTAAACTAATATAGGATTACAAAACATGAACACAATAGATAGGGGAAAAAAAGGTAAATAAAGAGAGTGAAAAAACATGACTAGGTGAAAACCGAGGTTGGTAAAGACAATGTGAGATTACAGCAGAAAGTCCACCGCCACTAACTCGTCCTCTGCTTCCTTTTTTTGGCAAATTCCACAACCACCGTGGTTGATCAGTTGGTAAAGTTTTTGATGGTGGCACTGGGCTCAGTGGCCTTGGCGGCTGCCGACGGCTCGACGCTGGGAGACGGAGCGACCGGCTTCCCGGTAAGCTCAACCGGCAAATCCTTAATGCCCTTCAAATAAAACGTGTAAAACAGCTTGATGGGAAACACAATCTGCTTCACCTTGACTTGTCCGTACACTCCCTCGAAGATCCCAGATCCACCGGTCACGGCCATGTACGTGTCCTCGTAGGTCAGATAAGCTCCCTGAACTGAAATGTGGCCGTAGTCTCCGAAGTAGAAGCTGTAGATTGCCTCGTACCTGTCTCCTTTTTTCTCGGGAAAGTTTTGGATCAAAACGCACAGGCCTGCTGTGATTCCAAGACGTTTTTCCAGGTCGCCGGAGTAGATCTTGTTGCTGAAGGGGACGAGGTCGCCGAGGGAGTTGACTTCTTTCTTGCTCAGTCTTAGGTATGCTGGGCTGCCTCTGTCTCTCTCATTGATCTCGTACACATTCAGTTCTTGAACTTTTGCTGGAAAATTTTAAACGTAATTGATCAGTTGCTACTTCTAAGATTAAGCTTTTCTACAACTCGTTCAAGAAGCACTTATGTTAATAATCACTTTTGCAAGAAGCGCTTTTATCATACAACGGCTAAATTTATTTTTTTATAAAAAATCCAAGTACTTCTTAGAAAAGAACTTGGAAATAGTTCTACAAGTCAAAAGCACTTTTGAGTTTTACTGCCGAATTAATTCAAAAACACAACTAGCACTTCCAAAATTCCAATCAAGCTAGTACACAACGTTTATGATTATTAGACAACGCTTTTAGCCATTCGAGAAGCAGTCACAGACGGTGACTAAGTTAAGAATTGATCAAAAGCAATACATAAAGACATCACAAGTTAAAAAAAAATAAAAAACCATGATCAGAAAGTGGTAGCTGGAAAAAGTGCTTACTGGGTCGTGAAGAATCAGAGTCAGCTGGTTCCTTCTTCTTGCCGAAGAAAGCTGAGGTGGTGAAGTTTCTGGGGGTTGAAAGGGATTGCTTGGTCGATGCGGATTTAAGGGTTGGGAAGGAGCGAGAGAGACTGAAGCCCAACAGTCTTTGAGCTTGAGAAGATGGAGGAGGAGACCTGATCGAGTTGGAGAAATGGAGGGAGGAGATCGCTTCGAGAGAGCTTGCAGACGCCATGGATGGCAGAGGAGATGGAGTCCAGTCTCTGGAAGAGAAGGTGGATCGGAAAGTAAGTGGGAAAGTACTGGCAGTGACGAGGATAAATTAGAATATTGGTATGGTGTTGGAAAATAAATAGTGAGATGGTAGGGGATTTTTATAGTATGATGCCTTTGTTTGAATAAGTTTATCCAACAGCATCCTCTTGCATTTTTTGGTGAGAGTTTTGGAAATTTGTAAATTGTGTCTGTTCATTGTATATGTTGGAGTTAGTTTTTGTCAGGTATTGTTTATATTTAATTTTAAATAAAACATTTAAAATGATTTCTGATCGTAAAATGTACAATGAACATATATAATTCATAGATCCTCAGAAACCTCGGAATCCTCGCAAAAAAGATCCGGCGAGGATCCGAATACTGAGTTTACATATGGTGTTGAACACGAGGGCTTCTTTTTTGTGTGACGAGTGGATGACGGTGCATGGTGTCGGCGGGTGCATTATTTGGTCGGAGAAACATATTTTGTGGCAATCCAACTAAGATTTTGTTTCCTTAAGCTTAAACCCATGACTTTTTCTGGACGGAGTCCAAGCCCCAGTCTGTTTTAACCTGTGAACACATTAACTTATGCTCACAACTTGAAGAGAACTTTTGGTTAAAAACTTTCATGTCATGTAACGGTTCTTACAGGATACACACGAATGATACTCTTTTATGTTAGTCTTCTTAAGATAGATCTCTAACTTTTATTTGTTGCATTTGACAAAATTAAGGCCTTAACTTATCATATGATATGATCGCGACTTATTATCCCACCTCCATTTTAAGCCATCGCAAAACCTAACTTTTAAGGCTGTACATTTGCTCACTGCCCTAAAATGGTTTAAGGAAAAGAGTAAGTACAATTTTTTTTTTTATCGAACGAGTGATTATCCAATTGGTTTGGCAATAACAAAAGAATTACTAGCAATACCTGCTGCTCTCACTAAAGTACATATACATAATATCGATATATCACACTCACGGCTGATGATTTTAAATCAAGCATGACATAATCAAATCTCCACTATAAATTTCAAAATTCAAATTCATCTAACAACAATCGACGAGAGTTTTTCTTGGTTAGGGAGAAACAATTATTTACAATTGAAAAATCTCAATGTTAAATAATTATTTACAGGCATTTTGCGGTTCCATAAGCAGTTGCATACTTTGCACTTTCGCTTGGTCAAACATGAGACTCTCGAAGGTGACTGGCCGCCTGCCCTCGGCTGGGGAAAATTCATTCGTCCTAAAAACACGTGCTGAACGCTACACCACCGTGGAGACTTGGACGGTAAGCGAATGCTTGTCCACGACAAACATGGTCGGTAATTTTAGGGAAGAAAAGGAAAAGTACCAGGTTAACATGTTGTCAAAATCTCAGCACCGGTTCTAGTAATCAGAATGGTATGTTCAAACTGCGCAGCCGGGCTACCGTCCGCGGTCAGCGTCGTCCAATTGTCCGGCCACGTTTTACACTCGATGCTTCCCATTGTAAGGATGGGTTCTGCAGCAAAAGAGAAATAACATTTTGTGTGATAAGGATCATTGGTCAGAATTCTACCGTCGCATGCTCAAACTTAGGATCTTGAATATGCCGCGCCGCTTTCAGTAAAATTTATGCATGTTTTACCGTCGACTTTACAAACTTGAAGAAGATAAAGTTGCAGGTATATTGATTTCTGAGTATGGAAAGTACTGCACTCACCAATGGTAAATGTCTGACCTTCAACCATGGAACCAGACTGGTCATTCCCTGTCAAAAAATACATGACAATTATAAGCAGTTCATGTCTCGGCGGTAAAGATAGTAACGAAGGTTTAATATCGAGTAGTGGCTTACGGTGATGTAATATTAATGGTTCAGAATGAAATACAGTCCCTACACCGTGCCCAACAAAGCGCTCTACTACGCCATAACCATATTTTTCAGCATGTTCGCTGAAAAAGAACCAAATAAAAACTTATGAACAAGGGAAGGAATTGTGCATTGTTGTTCAATGGTGTAAAATATGCAATTCTTTCCGGTCGAGGATTGACAATTAATCATCTAAAAGATGTCCAGAATAAGTTTTAGTCCAATATATCACAAGGAGGCGAATCAAACCTAATTCTCTTTCCAATTTTCTTGAAGCTAGCACCGTCCTTGCAAACTGCTATGCCTTTTTCCAAGCATTCTTCGGTTACCTGCCACCAAGATAGATTGGTAATGCATAAATTGGACGTCTGTAACAAAATCAAAGCTTAATAAGGAATAGATATGTAGTATATTCCTAAACAGATACGAAACTCGGATGGATGTGAATGATAAAACCATGCTTCTGAATAACGACAAGATGCAACACTATCAAGCAGAAAAAGTTTACCTTCAGTAGTCGTTGGATTGATTCACTGACCTCCCCACAAAGAAAGGTCTTTGATGTGTCTCCATGATATCCCTGTCAAAGTAGACAGCACGAATGTACTGAATCAGACCATTCATTATTGAATAATAGGAAATGGTACAAGAACTCAATGAACGAAAATACCCTACTGATTGCATCATACCATTTGTTATCAAATAAAGGAAATCAAGCTTTGATACCAACCATTTTAATGAATTCACACATTAAACTACAGATAGCTGGCAGATAACTAGTATTTGTAAATGCAGAACTCAATAGATAAATAATCAGGAAACTACGTTAAAATCAAAATTAAGCGAATGACATAAAACATTTTCTGGGAGCCGATTTGGTTAGAGAAAGGATACAAATGAGCTAAAATGACGAAAGTCATAAAATCAGGAGCGTACATTTAGGTAGACCGTCACATCTATGTTGATAATGTCTCCACTCTGCAAAAAAGATTACCATTAGTGAGGTATGACATGAACACATGTATGCAAGGAGCAATGTGCAATGTAGCCTTTGAGCAATGTGCAATGTAGTCTTCGAAACCTGTAACTGTCGAGAATCAGGAATTCCATGGCACATGCACTCGTTAACAGATGTGCATACACTCTTCGGAAATCCTCCATAGCCAAGTGGTGAGGGATAGGCACCAGCATCAACAATCATCTGGTGCACTGCTATGTCAATTTCATTAGTTGTTATTGACGGCTGGAAGGATGTAAAAAGATGTTAATAGAATATCAAAAAACTCCTATACATACAATTAAAACGCCAATGGCAACAAACATAAGTTGTATCAAAGGAATAAGATAAGACATAAAAGAATAAAAAGTACATTTACTATTTTTTATAAGAAACAAAAAGCTCAAGCTTCAAATATCCAAAAAAAAATAATGGAACTGCAAACCTAAATTCAGATAGCGGAAAATTGGTAACTAATACGAGTAAAAACTGTGGTTAAACCCAAAATTTAAAACATAGACCTGCAAGGTTCTAGAATTTGACATCGAGTTGCACTCACTAACTTAGGAAGTCAACTGAACTGAAAATCTGTGGAAGTCTCAATATGTCAAACATATTTTTCAAGTGATAGTTTGGCACCACCGAACATACATGTACAAACCTTGTAGACAAACACAATTTGACAGCAACTAGTAAAAGCTGAGAAGCTTACCCTAACCAACTTTCCTGCAGATTCTAAGACGCGAGCAGCAAGCTCGCACGCAGCTCGCATATCAGCAATGCCTTCAGAACCAGGAAATTGATGTTCACTGGCAATTTCTGGCAATATAGATGAACCAACATAAGGAGGCCTAGGAATGTGATCTGGAACGGGAAGTTGTGGCGACACCCTTCCACGCCTCAATGGCGGCCTTCTTCCAATCTTTGGCGCAAGCTGCCGAGTCTCACGATCTCTACACATTATCGAATCATCAAATTAACGGAATAAACCGTATCGAATTTTGCATTGCTCTATTTTTTTGTCAACAAATATATGTCAAATGGTTGTCACATTTCTCATTAACTCAAATTATCAAAATTATCACTAATTGCAAGCTACAGTATTCCAATTTGTATGAAATCCGAGGTTTGGGGGAATTGTAAGACTTGGTTGGAAGAAACAGGAGCGGCGCGTACCTTTTAATTCTCATGGCCTCCTCCAACCCCGAAAGTCTCCGAGCAAACACAACGAGGTTCTTCCGACAAAAGGATTCTTTTCCTGAACACATAGAACATATAAAACAACGTAGCTAAACCAAACGATTACGAGGAACATTCACAGAGGAAAACAAGAGAAACCAGACCATAGGTGGAGAGGGAGAAGCTGAGTGGGGACCCGGCGAAGAGAGTTGACTTCGTTGAACTTAGTAAGACTTGGCCTTGGCAGCCATGAGAAGGAGCTGAGAGTTGCAGACCTCCGGCGACTGCCATTTTCTCTCTCTGTAACTCTTGCTCTTGCTCCTCCTTGCACACAGAGAGGAAGAGGGAGGTGGGAGAGAGAGTGGATAACGTGACGGAATCAGTGGCCTTTTGGGTTGGTTTGAAAATTTGGATGAAAAAAGGGGCTTTTTGCAATATATTGGGCCTCGACCATTCGACGTCGTTGTGTTCGGCAAAGATGCTTGGACTTTGGGCTTTTTATTTTTGACCAAGGCCCAAAACACTGCTTGTGGGCCTTCCACGAAATTGAAGTCCAACTTAAATTCGATGCTTAAATGTAACGACTACAATGGCATTTTCATTTGCCTGTAATGAAAATTGGAATTATTTCGATTTTTAGAATTTTTACTTTTACCATAATATGATTGTTGAGATATTACACACGAAATACAAAAGTGCAGGATTCTGACTAAAAATCCATAACGTAGATCCATGAAAATTATAAATCATATGAATTGGATGGTTAGTTTATCTCACTCTTAATCCTTATTTTACTTTCTTGATTTATGATTTCTCTCGTTCTAAGTAAATATGCAGACAAACAATTCAATTCGAGCCAACTTTTATAAAAGAAAACAAAAAGGAAAAATCGAGTCAATATGTTCGGTTTTCAAAGTCAACTCAACATACATTTTTTTGTTAAACCCAATTTCATTTTTTAAGGCTTTTTAGCCAAAATGGTCTATGATATTTGCATAACTCCTCATTTTAGTTCTTGAGATTTGAAATTAATATAAGTGGTCTTTGATTTTGTCCACCATCAATCATTTTGGTCATTCCGTGAAAAAACTTCTGAAATAAGAATCAAAATGACAAAAATATTCTCAATTTAATAAACAATTGGTCAAAATGATTTAACAAACAATTGAAGGTATTTTTGTTATTTTATCTTTATTTAATGGAGATTTTCCAAGGAATAACCAAAATGATTAATCAAAGAACAAAGTGATGAGTTACGCAAATTTCAAAGACCACCTTGATTAAAAAAACCTTTTTTTAATTTGTCAAGTTCGATCCGGGTCACCAATTTACGTACTAGTCCGCCCACCCAGCCTTAACCCTAATAGAATCTAAATTTGAAGAAAACGCGTTCATATGGAAGGATGGGCCAGGCAATGGCGAGTGGAATATTAAGGTTGATTGACAGGAGGAGAAAGTTGAAAAAACACAGCCAAAAACCAACAACTTTACGACCGACTAGCCGGAAGAAAATCCGGATTTTGGATTTGGGGTGCCATTGACGCCAAACCCATGCATGGCCACAACGTTAATTATTTCCTACACGAAATGATCTGAAAGATTTTTAATATATCAATCACGGGGTTGTATATTCCTTCACATATACCACATCTTCATGGAAGTTACGACGAACCACAGAACAGAACATGCAAGATGGGAAGTAATGTTATTGCTTACAAATTAAGTACAATTAATCTTCAATATTTCCTCTTAAGTACAATTAATTAATCTTCACTACTCCCTCTTATCAAGTTATCACTATATAAAATACAAATGTTTTTGCCATTTGAACTCGTCAAATATTAATTATAACAAGTCAATATAATCTTATGTGATTCTAAAGACTGATACACATCATATTATAATAGCATATAAAGTATCATATATTGTGTAGTTCTTTTAGTGTTTATAGAATACGGTTACGTGACGTTATTATTCTACTTAAATTATGTTATTTTATTAACACATCCTAAAACTGAGATGTCACTAATCAGTATACATAATTGCAACAACTTAATCAATGGTCACTTGCTCGACCAAAACACTGAAACACATGTGGAACTGCCTACAGGATTTGATTAAGAATTCGAAAGATTTAACCTACCTCTTAATTAGCAGCGCAATGTTATGTGTGTATGATTTGTAAACGAAATTATTAAGATTGTGGTTCCTTGTCAATATTTGGGTTTATCTTTCATGCTATTAATTTACGATTAATTAGTATCTCCACGTGCAGCGTTGAATGATCGAGTAAAGTACGAGAATTAGAATTTATAATAAAACAATATTTGGCTACTCAAAGATGAGCAGGAACTTCTACTCAAAATTTCTCAAAATTGTTCGTTGTTAATTTATAGAACTTCGTGTTTATAATAAGAATAGTTCATATTATAAATCACCTTATAAATATCACCTTTGCAAAAAATTAATTAAAATTAAAGTCGTTTAATTATCAAATTGCTTAAAACCAAATGAACGGTATTGGTAAAAACATTACGAACGGTCTATGTATTTGCTACAATAGATTGATTAAACGACCTTAGTTTTAATTTATTTTTTGTAGAGATGATCTTTACAATGTGATTCATAGTATAAAAGGTAAGCACAAAGCTATGTAATTAAAATACTAAGAGTTTTGAATAAGAGTTCATACTCATTTTTTAATAGCTAAGTATTGTTCTTTATAATATGTCCGAACTATAAGAAGTAACTAAGAATTAAAATGGATAATTATTTCGAAGGGAAATATCTTTGAAACATCGACATACGATCATTTCACGTATGTGTGTTCTCCTGTGATTTTTAAATTTCCAACCAAAAAAAAAAATCTAAAACTATCTTCTTCTTTGCCATCCATATTTAGAAATTTTCGTTTTTTTTCTTTAGAAGTGTTATTGGCACTCCAAAAGTCTCATTCTACACTCCTCACAAGTGTATTTATTTATTTGTTTCTAAATACAAAAAGTTTAAAGGTTAAAATGAGAAAATTTGAGTGCTAATAACAATTCTTTTTGTAAACAGAAAATTTCGTTCTTAATTAGCTCAACATCATACTCAGTTTTGTACATACCCCACCACAATTATTTTATCATCTTATATTCTTAATTAATGGATATATTATTTGCTTCATATGCTAGAGAAATTTGAAAGTGTGCCAGAAAAACCGGTGGCGGAGTCAACATAGGATCATTGGTCGCCCTTGATCCCAATAACTTAAAAACTCGATTGTATTTGTTTGTGTATTATCCCCCATAAACAGTGAGGACAAACTAAATCGCAACATCATCCTCCTCTTACTACCCCTATTTTCTTCTATCATCTTTGTCTTCATTTTCTCTGTTCTTGTGTTTAACTCTATTGTGCGAACCATGTGCTCGATGGAAAACCTTATTTGACAAGTCTTGACAGTCTTTAATTTTACTCCACAATATCCTGCAATCACTCTCGACAAACCTCTATTGAATAATAGTTGTTGATATATGTTGGCATAAACTTTCGGTATATGTCGATAGAAATTAGAAAGTACTTACTAGGTGCTCGACGAAATGGTCCAATAAAGTGTTTTTAGTCAATATCATGCCTCCATTAGTTGAAAATTCTGGCTTCGTCATTGGGAAAAACAGTCTGGTACACCAAGTGTTATAAGATAATTAATTAGAAATTTCACACTTAATGTACCGGGCTATATTTTCGACATACTAAAAAATCTCTATGTAAGAGAGTGAACTTGAAAGTAAGAAAGCAAAATATCTCCTTCATTACAGCTGGCAACCTATAAGCCATACTAGTATAGCCAATGTATTTCTATTACTACTTGCTTTCATGGTCCTTCAGACATTTCTGTCATCCATTACACCGTTTTTGAACACATTTTTTTATCGAATAAAGTATATGTTTCTCAACCAATGTGACGTCTCAACTTTAAATCCATTGAATATACTCAATTTTTAACTAATTCTCATCCTCTCTGTGTTGCTAATTATCCCCATTTTATTTATTTCCACTTGTTCACTTTAAAAGCCATCATTATTAGGGACATATGCTACATGGTTTAAGAACGTTTTTACTGTAGATGTCAAAAAATAAATGTCAAATATTAATTGAACGATTGACATTTCAATGTTAAATTTTCTCTTATTCCGACCTATATTCTTTTTGTTATAATAATATTTGTTTGACCCGTTTTTAAAATGAAATCAATTAGAATAAATTTTCATGATTTATAATTGATGCATGTCAAAATTAGCACGAAAAATAAAAGAATTCTAAGATGCCAAAAAATATAATAATATTTGTTTGACTCGTTTTTAAAATGAAATCAATTAGAATAAATTTTCATGATTTATAATTGGTGCATATATCAGAATTAGCACGAAAAATATAAGAATTCTAAGATGCCAACAAATTATAATAATATTTGTTTGATTTGTTTTTAAAATAAAATCAATTAGAATAAATTTTCATGATTTAAAATTGGTGCATATGTCAAAATTAGCACGAAAAATATAAGAATTCTAAGATGCCAAACAATTGTAAGATTTTCATGACTTAGGATTTTGACATTTTATTCGGAGATGCTCTGAAATGCCAAAAAAAGTGTAGCAAGAAGCAATGAATCAATGGTTGATTCTTATTGGCCAATTGAAGCCAAATAGTCCCCTTATTAACTTTCCGAACCAACAAAATGTTACTTCCACTTCCATACCTAACCCTCCCTTAACAAATTAGAGGGAGAGATATTTTTGGAAAGCAATCCACTTGACTAGCTAGCAACAGAAACAACAACAAAATTGACTTATCCTTTGAAAATTCAACTTGAATTTTTCTTTTATCAAATTAATTTGTTGCACCTAATTTCAAAAGCTTTGCTTTCTTCAGCTCAGCCTTTTTTTTTTTTTTTGGTCATCTAATTTACATTCCACGTTTCTTGCAGCTTCACAAAACGCTAGAGAAAAACAAATAAAAACTAGAAAATGCTACAAAGCTCCAATGATCCTTGGCTTCTTGCCAAACTCTAATTCCAGTAACTCCATCTCTCTCATTCTCTTTCCAATATTATTATTGCAACCTCCGCCGATAGCAGCAGCTGCAGCTGCATCCGCTGACCCGGGCCCGCTGCTCCCAGGTATTTTGAATATGTTGACCCCAAATAGCCGAACCATCGGAACCGGACCAACCTGAACCGGGCTTGACCCATTATTGTTGGTATTATTCACACTCATCCTGGCCTTCCAATCAATGTACAGCTGCTTGTCCGGTCCGGTCGACCTCTGAAAGCTCACAATGTCCCCGGCCATCAGATTCTTCTCCTTCACGAACCGGCTCCACCCTTTGGTCAACACGTAGCTTTGACTGCTGTTCCAGTAAGAGTACCGAAACCTCCACACTTTGCCCCCGACATCCTCAAAATTCAAAAGCACTCCTTTGCAAGCGGTAGAAGCGCTTACCGTTAAGGTTGCAGCGCTTCCGCTTTGCAAAGGAAAGTGCTTTTCCGCGTGCTGCTTCGGGATCACGAGGCGGTTCAGTTTCCCGACATCGCTCGGGGTCACCGCTTTTTCGAAAAGCTGCTCACGCGCTTTCGGGACTCCACTGTTGTCCGTACCGAACAGGCCCAGTGATCCGTTGGACCGGGACCGCTTCCCGTAAGCGGAGTTGTTGCGCTTGCTCTGTTCCAGCTCGTCATTGTAAGTGTGCTTTCGCAGCATGTCGACGATTTCGGACTTAGAGTGGGAGCTCAGAAACGCGGCCTCGGCGTCGTCGTTTTCTTCGTCGTCGGAGGAAATGGGTTCGGCGGATGAGGGCTTAAAGTTGGTGACGGCGTCGCGGCCACGGAAGCGCTGTGCAGCAACGTCGTAGGCCCTGGCGGCCTCGTCCTCTTCGTTGAAGGTACCCAGCCAGACGCGCTGGTGCTTCTCGTAAATCTGGGCACCCCAGCGTCCGTTGGGCTGCGGGACCACGCCTTTGTACCTGGAGGAAGGGAGCTTCCGGGACTCGGCCTCGACGCCGCCAGTGCCGCCGCTGCTGCTGAGCTCGGGGTCGAGAATCACACTGCTGGCGCCGCTGCCGACGCGGCAGAGGCTGGCCACTTGGGGTGCTGACTTGGCAAATGGGTCCACACGTGCAACAATATGTTGGAGTGGGGAAATGGATATGGAGTCGCTGCTTGTGCTCTCTTCTGTGCTGCTTATTCCGTCCATTTTTCTTGTTTGTTGATTGTGTATGTTGTGTGTTCGAAGGGGGAGAAGGGGGGGGAGAGAGAGAGAGAGAGAGAGAGAGAGAGAGAGAGAGAGAGGTGAGATAAGAAGGTACTTTTGAGAGAGAGAGAGAGAGGGGGAGAGAGAGGAGGGAGGGCGGACTTGATGAAATGGTATTGTTTGAAGGTTGGATATATATAGGAGGTGGGAAGGGAGGGGGGTATTTGGGATTTTACTTGTTAGTATGTTGGTATTTGGGATTTACTTGTTAGTGTGTTGTACGTGGTTTTAATATTATTATTATTTATGTGGAAATATATGGAGATATCAGGATGTGGTTGTGGTGGGTCAACCCAGAGGATTGGGATGGTAAAGAGCTAGGAAGGTTCATTCTGTGTGAGTGCGAGAGAGAAATATAGAGAACGGGGAAAACTATTGGCAAATAGGGAATAACAAGGAGAAAAATATTGAAAGTGCCAAACAATGGCAATTGATTTTCGGGCACTTAATTTTTTTACAGGCACACTTATGTGTATTTATGTCTAAACCGGTAATATGGAAGTCCTATATAATCACGATAATAAAACGGTAAAATAAAATCATAAGACGAATTCCATCAAACAAAATCAGTAAAAAACGAACCATGATTTGCAGTGGGCATCAGCAGCTTCTTCCATCAAACAAAACCATTAGAAGAGAATACGCCTAGATACTGTTTGTATGCAATTGCTAAGTGTGACTTTATTTTCTTCAATATAATATATATCTTCCTCTTTCTTTATGAAAATAGATGCTCTCTGAATCCCTTTCTCCTAATTCGACAAGTTCGATGATCCGGATCGTAAAAATTTGATCTAACGGCTACAAACAGGAGCTCACTTTAAAAGTTATAGTAACTTTAGCCATTAGATCAAATTTCAACGATCCGAATTTTCGAACTTAAAGGATTAGGAGGAAAGTATCCATTTCCTTTCTTTCTATATGCAGTAGCTTGGGGGTACTAGATAACTAGGTAGGGTGATAGTATGTGTGGGATGTGGGGTGTGTATGTGAGGTGGGTCCCAATTAAACAAGTTGGTGGGGTTCACATGAGTGTGGACCTTGTCTCAGTTTATAGATTCATCCCCTCTGAAAATCATTCCTCCTGCATGCTTCTCCACCCTCTAGCATGGCCTCTCCTCCATTACCATCACCTCAATTTATTATATAAATAAATGCAAAATTGTATCATTTCTTTTCATTCTATTATCCATATAAACTGTCGATATGAGTTTAGTTGCTTAAGATAGTGTGATCGTCGGTTACATTTGAGTAATTCAAATAGTTTTTAATCAATGTAGTTGTATGTGATCAGTTGATCAAGATAATATGTTTTATAAATAAAAATGCGAATCTTATCTGAATTGCGAATAATATGGGATGCTGGATCAATATGTGCAAATAAATGTGAAGTCTATGATTTGGTTTTTTGGTGTGTTGCTTTTATTGCTCAAATTAGAATGCAGATAAACATTGAGAGAAGGCTTCCATTCCACTAGCAGTAGGAACTAGGATGGGTTGTGGGGCTAAAGTTAAACCAATGAGAGAGAGAGAGAGATTAGAATTGGATAGGCATTGGAGGATTGAAGTCTCAAAACAAAGGGGCAAAGGGCAAAGTCTCATCCCACAAGAAATTCCCATTTCTCTCTCTACCCCACCTAGCTCTTACCTGGCTTGATTTGATTCGTCCTTCCCCTACCTTGATGTTTTGTCTTATTGCCTAGGTTCAACTTTGGGTATCTCCATCTCCAAAAATACAAAACAAAATTATAAATTAATTGTTTAAAATTGTACATTGTATGTATAAATGTATGCATCTCCTAACATTATTTCCAACCAACATTGACATTTCTCCCTCCAAGTGGAGATCCACTCCAAGTGGCTACCTAGCCTTGTTTACTAGATCCACTCCCTCTACATTGTTTCATGCACAATCATCCCTATTATTCTTCTCATGTCATATTAACTTAATTAAAACCGCAAATGTCATAAATCAACATGAGAACAAACCAAAAAAGTTCGTATTTATTCCTTGTAACTAATCGTGCCCTCAGGATTTCGGTTTGATTTGGAATGTGGATCACAGACAACCTAATCAAACGGTGTTGAGCTTGCTCTCCAGTATTTAGTGGGTCCAACCAGTTGGGGGTGTTTAATGAATGGGACTTGGCTGCTGAAAAATCAACAGATGACCAATCACAACTGAACACGTGTCTAAGTTGTATTAAACTTGGACATGGGTTGCTGCTAATCCTTTCAGCAGCCAAGTTCTATCCGTGTTTAATTTTCACCAATGGAAGAGTAATACAATGGGTTAGGAGGTGATGTGAGTTGAGGATTTCATGTCAAGTGAATCGTGATATTATATTATGTATTTTAAGGGTTTAATGTACGGAGGAGTCCACGGTCTTCTGGGGGTCCCGCATGCAACTTGCCAAAACCGGAGCGCTGAAGACGGTGGGTCGGCTTTTTTTGGACTGCGCCTATGTGGACTTGTGGTTTTCTGATTGTTAACGTGCGTCCTGCTTTCTCCATATTGTGTCCTCATTTTTAATTCGGATAATAAGGAGGATTTACGTGTAATTAACTCTTTTTTTCTTTAATTCTATTTCCCAGAAAACAACCGGACGTACGGTATTCTTGTATGCTGTCTACGGATATCCTGTCTTTCCGTTATGTTATTGCCACTCCTTCAATTTAGTTAAAATGATTTCTGAAATTGACATAACTTATTACTTGGGTCATTGAGATTTGAAATCAATAGTAGTGATTTCTGAATTTGCCCTTCGTCATGGTATAAAATATCGATGATATCGGAAATATCGGCAATCCAAAAACATGAAAATTTCGATAGAAATATCAGGATATTATCGATATCGATAAAAATTGAATAAAAACCACGGAAATTGTAAAAAAAATTGGAAATTTTTATTGAAACTTTGGATAATGTTTATTTACAATATTAAGTTTATAAAAAAATTAGAAGGAAATGCATTACATGATAGATTTAACTGATTTAAGTTGATTATACAGCGAGCTGGCAAATATTGTGAGTGTAGAAAATATGTAGTAATTAATGAAAAAAAGATTAAACACACCATTCATTTATATATAATGATTTACTACAATATTTTACACTTTATACATTGCATGGTTAGATACATAAGTGATTTAGTACCACATAAAGTTCTTATGAGGTTCAAAATTTTCATTATCTTCATCATCTCTATGTGTAGAGTAAGTTTATTGTGAAGAGTATTCATCAAATGATAAATCCCCAAAATAGTTTTGCATGTAAATGTTAACATACCACTCATAAAAATATAAATATTTTAGCATATTATCACTAAAACATAAGTGATATATGGTGGTTACAATGTTGGAGGAGTAAAATGGGAGGGGTTCAAATCCCCTTTGTGTTTTTTTCCCTCCCTTTTTCCCCATTTTTTCTTTTTTTTTTCCTTCCTTTACATCAATATTTTCGATATTTTAGCGATATTACACCCATATTTTGACAAAATATTGCTGAAGTGTGAGCGAAATTATCGACATCGATATTTTCCGATATTATCGTCGATATTGTCGATATTTGTACGATATGTACATGGATATATTCCGAAATATTTAATAAACAATTGGCCAAAATGATTTGACAAAATTCAAGCTATTTTTGTCATTTTATCCTTATTTAATGGAGATTTTTCCTAGAAAGACTAAGATGATTGATGGTGGACAAATACATGCACTAGTTCTATTAATTTTTAGTCTCAATGACTAAATTGAGGAGTTATGTCAATCTCATGAACAATTTTGGTCAAAAAGCCTCAATTATTTGATGTGTTTGAGGGGCACCTCTCCAATAAACTTGTTTGAGTTTTGATTGTACAACAAATACATTTCTCTATACAATGTTATTTATTTTCGTACTTGTTTGGTGTTGATTGCAAACTGCGTATCTAAGGGGTCACTTGTTGATATTCACTTAGCACGAAAAATGCTGAATCCCACTAATTATTAATGGTTAACAGGTGACTAATTTGCTAAGCGATTAGGTCACCGCTCATTAGATTGCCACATTAGTGTGTTTGTACGTCATTTCCTATCAAATCCAGACATTAAACATATGCAGCATATATATCCAAAGCCGACACAAAAAAGTTAAAAGCGTGCGTCACATGTATTCACTTTTCTGTGCCATTTTAGATCTTTCGGGGCCTCAGGCTAATTAGATCATTGAGGCCATAGATATTTATATTATCTTATCGGAATAATCACTTGCTTGCTCCCACCAAAGCTCTCTGCTTACTCGTCTTAATCTTTCTTGTTATCTTTAATCATCATCACAAAGTATTCCCTAATTGGTTTTGAAGTTTCTAGCTCTCTCAATGGTCCCTCCCTAATCACCATTTGCATATAAAATTACATGGTTTATCTCTTAGGCGGTAGCAGCCTTGATCACCATGCCTATCCTTTTCACATTTAGAACATTTAATTAATATATATGCTCCTTAATTAATCCATTTAAGACATTGTTCAGGTGCTTTGCTTTTCTCACCTTTTTATTAATAAAGTAATTATAGCTGAGGTAAAGAATATACACTTTTCCGTCGACCATGTGTCACACCCTTATCGTACATTAGCCAGACTAATATTTGATTAATCCGAAATAACAAATATATAGTGGAGGTAGTGACGAGGAACCTCAGTTCACATGTCATGAAATCCCAATCTAGTTAGTGCTTAAGTGACATTGATATCCAAAGTTAAATGAAAGTATGTATTTATCTTTTTCTCATATAATTATAAATCGAATAAGTATGAGTAACTTTCTGAGAAGTTCTTGTGTTGCATCCCTCTTCTTTTGCCAACAAGGATTTTCGCTAGACCAAGGTTAATGTTTGAGTCCAGCTGCTGATGACAATCCTTCTTGATTAGCGATCTGTAAAAATCAACAAAGAAGCTAAAACTCTCTAAGTAAGTCATACAAAAAGACTTGCAATATTTATGTCATAACCTTGAGATGGGATAGCCTGCTCTTTCCAAAACTTTTGGTAACCTAAATATAAAATGAACAAAAGTTTTTGTGATATGTATA